CTCTCTAGGAATCGCCCTTCCGCTTTTGAAGAATCCCCCAATTGACATCCAGGAAAGCCTCCATCTGCTTTCAAACAAATTGCCCTTCGCTTTCCAGGTGGAAAGACTACCTTTGACCATTTGTTAAGAAAACTTATGAAAGTGGTAATTAAGCTACAATTGACTAGTGAGGACAAAAGGTCTAGAATAAAAACATAGCAGATGAGTCAAAAATATTAGCGCTTAGATAGAAGTCTTAGATTCAGAAGAACAGGTTAGTCTCCAAAATAGTCTACACTGAAAATGGTGTGCATCTAGATTAAAACTGTACTGGACAAAAACTTTCCGACAAAAACCTGGGGAAATAACAATGCCCAGGTCATTCTTTTACAGCTAACAATCCTAGTCCAATCAAACAGAACTTTCCAGTCTCTGTGTTATGTTCCTGTAGTAATTCCAGCTCTTCAAATATTGTGATTTCTTCAGTGCAGTGGTTACCTGAATAGTCTCAGAATATGAACCAAGAACAAATCAATTCACACATGCTAAATTTAAATTGCCTTGCTTAGTCAGCTGAATTTAACCAGTGGCTTCATAAAGGCATCACATATGTACCCAGTTCTTTTCAGTAAGCAATCGCCCTTGAATTAAGTGTTTTTGTTTCCTTGAAAATTTCTTCTAAAATACTATTTCTGAACAATGGAAACAGTTACATGATGAAATAGTTCACAGAGAAGACTTTAAACGCAACCTACCCTAAAAACCCAGCAATTCCAATGGGACAACATCACAGCAAAGTTTAAAACGGACACTAACAGAAAAAGGTATTGTTGTTGTACTATGAATAGCAATAAAAGCATTTTACATACGGAAATGTTATGTTTAGGTGTGGATTTGAAAGTAATAATTAACAAACAAAAATTAAATAACTAAAGACATCTGGTTATCGGTTACACTTTTTAAAAAAACCTCACAGACACAAAAAATTCAATAGCTATATCTGCTTTTATATACTGAATAGTGAAATTTTTTAATGAACTTATAAACAGTGTGTTTACAAGTAGGTGCTACTTTAAAGTATGACATATTTATATCGCCTTTGTCAGCCATGAAAGACTTCACTTACTACTTCCAGAAGGGCTCTACCCCCAACACAGGGCAAATGTGAAAGTAATTTCTGGCTGTGCAGAAATGTAAACTTAAATGAACAGAATAGTGTCAACATTTAAGTTCTTTACATTTCTACAGCATTTCCTCTCAGAAGACTTCCTACACTTAAACACTAATTGAATAGTACTTATAACTCCTTTTAAGGTGTTCATATCTTTATTTTTACAGATTTGCGTCTGTAAGTATTTGGGAACTGTAAAACAAGTATCCCAGCTGCCACTGGATCTCACATGGATCAGTGATACACAGCTTCTAGTGGAATAAGAAACTACAAAAATTTATGAGAGTCATATTATAGCATGAAAAGGGATTTCAGTTACACGAAATACCATTTCAATTAATCTGTGTCACAACTATAACTGTTAACCAACTAATTATTTGTATGGAAGTTTATTTTGTAGTGACTCTGCCTCAATCCACATGAGGAAAAAAGTGAATTGCATCACAGTTTCCGCTTCTGCCAGTAGCTTATATCAACTTCTACCAAGTGAAATGATCAGCTTGCTTAATTTCTTTCAATGGGCATTTTCCACTAGAAATAAAAACTCGCCCCTCTTCTTCACTAAGTTCATAAGGCAAGCCCAAGTAGCACATGAACAGCAACATCCATGACTAGTGGTGAGGGTAAACAATCGTCTTCCCTATATACACTTTGAAGCATCTTTCAAGCAAAGGTTCTGAAATGCCACGACAGTCTACCAAGTGCAACGACCAGCTTAGAACAAGCAGCAATAAGTTTAAGGGAATCCGATTCTAATGAATCAACGAATCATTAAATAATTCAAGCTTACATCAAGTTTTATAAAAAACTTCAAAACCCTTGCTATAAATTTACAAATTATAAGATTATATTGAATTTTATTTTAGGCTTTAATTCATCTGTGAATAATTAGTGAACAAGAACGCAATAGCCATAGGAACAGTGTACATCAGCACGATAGGGTCAAAATGAGTATAATGAGTATGTGCAATAAAACTGCTGAAATGATGAAAATATGGTGATTGTACGCACATGACCTGGAAATAAGTTAGAATTAACATGGAAGAGAAGGGGACATAAAGCAAACCAGAGAGAGGAAGCATCTGCCGAATGCCAGAGACAGAAAAGCAGCTACAGTTTCACAGCCTCTTTGTGTATGTGCGCACATGCACACATATGTGTACATGTGCATGAGGGCTACATATTTATTTCAAGAACTCAGTGGAGAAGTTGAAAAGAAAAATTACACTGGTGTGGACAACCGTATTTGTCTGACTCCGTGACGTTCATCTAGACTAGTGTGACCTGTTACAAACATTCTGTTTGAAATGAAAGGGGAATGCTTACTTTAGCATGGTCATGTTAAATATAAAGCAAGCGTACATTCTCATCACAGGAACTGTAGGATAGCCTACATAGGATACTGCAGGATAATCTTCTGATAACATAGGTTTGTAATACTGCATCACAGTATTATAGACATTGAGGATGAAAGTTAAAGCATATCTTATTCTTTTAATAATGCTTTTCTTCTTGTTATTCTATTACTAATCATAGAGTACAATTTTACATGCTGTGACTACAAAAAAATCCAACACAACAAACAAATAACCCCCTCCAAAAACCACAGCTGTAGAAGTCTGCTGTATCTTGACTAGGGTCCTCATCTACAGCCACTGTTGAAAAGATGCTACTTTTAGGGGGGATCTAAAAGTAGCATAGAACAATCTTGGTTGCCCTTCCTTGCTGGCCGGCTGGTATATTAGTGGAAGGACTTGCTTTCACAACATGTGCGACATGAAGTAAGGAAAACTGATTTGAAATCTTATAAGAACCTATTAGAAATGTTTTGTGGAATAACATTGAATCTTTTCTGTTGCAACTTTGTTGGCTGCTCCCCTTCTCCAACACAGACTATTATGATTTCTGTAGTTTTCAGTAAAGGATAAAAATTTACAAAGTGCAGCTTGTGTCCAGTTTTGGGGCAGTCTTATGCCCTAATAAATAGCTACTTCCAGTGCATCCCCCAAATACCACAGGTTTAGGTTATCACTTCATTAAAAAAAACAAACAAACAAAACAAAACAAAAACCACACACCATCACACTCAGGTTGGCGCATTTCATTATTCCTTGTATTTTTGCCTGTCACAAAAATCTCCATCCATGGCTAACAACTGCCACAAACTCAAATCATTCTAATTGGCACCTAGGCTATGCAGAATACAAACTCATTGGTCTGAGGAATTTATTGTCGCCTTTAGGGCAACATCGCATACTGAAAAATTGCAAAAAGAAATAAGTGCCACAACATAACTACTCAGAGAGTAACACAAGCAGCTACGAGGAAGTTTCTTGGAAAGGAGAAATAAAACTCAAAACCAGGACACTGCAAATACTGAAGAAACCAACATTATCTAGTTTTCTCATAAAGATTAAAAAACACATCAATGGTATTAAAACTCTGTACAGTTTGTTTTTTTTAAATAAATAGTCTAGCCAGCATGCAACAAAAGAACATGATGGCCAAGTTATCTTTCATTAAAAATGATCAGAGCTGCAAAATGAATCATAATTCTGAAATCTAAGAAATATGGAAACAGCTTTCGATCCATTTTGAAACTGTTTTTGTTATTATTCTTATGTATCTGGGTCACGCCACGTTTTCCATTACAAGAAACTATATAGCTATTATATTCCTCAACATACTGTATACATTTAAGACCTACCTTTGCAGAGGCAGCAATTTCCTGTATTCCCTTGGCAGCAACATCTTTTATGATTGGTGTAATGAGACCTCGGTCTGTTGCCACAGCAATAGAAATGTCAATGGACTGCAGCTGCCTGGGGCCCTCTCCATCCCAGGTTACATTGACATCTGGCAATTGCTAGAAAAAGAGAGAAGGAAAAAGAAAAAAAAAAAAAAAAGACAGAGCCGTTAAAATGGTTCAACAAATTATGAAGGAAGAGGAAAATCCTTTAAGACGCACAGTTTTTGTACAGGCATTCACGGAAGTAATTAGAGCATCACAGACTATCTGCAAATGAAGGCAAAAGAACAGGCCACATCTGCCATCAGGACTGTCATTAGGAAGACAAGAAAAATAATAAAATCACTATGAGGTTCTAAGAATAGATTTACACCATTAACTTGCATCTCTTTTAATCTATTTTGTCAAAAAGCATGAATGTATGCTGCAGGAACTGAAAATGTACAACAGCAGTGCAGTTAGGTTTTTTTAGTGCAGCTAGGACACCAATAAATTAACAGAAGCCTCCAAATTCCTTCAGGACTCACAGATAACACCTTACAAATACCCAGTATGCAAGAACTACAAAGCAGTGTCATTTCCCCCCCAAAATAATGCAGCAGTGGATATTGACTTTTTTTTTTTTTTTTTAATCAAACAGAAGAAAACGAAATGGAAAATAGAGATCCTAATATACCCACAGGTTGCTTTCCAGTCTTGTCTCAGGCATGACCCTAAACAAAGAAAACTACAAGTAGAATATGCTGTAGGTACACTCACTGCTGGGATGAGGATCTCAGAGCGCTTCAGGTATTTTTTGCATGGACTCACAACTAAAACTGATATAACATTGATGATAATTTCAATGAGGCCTTTGAGTTCACCATATAAAGGCTGAAACAGCTCAGGGAAGAAAGCTTGCAGCTCATGTAACTGATGGAAGGGTAGTTTAATGATTACAATTTAGTCCTACTCAGTACTGACCTAATGGTTACAAGCTGTTGACCTGCCCTACAGAAAGGGAAGTAGATGGAGTAGCAACATGCAAGTCTGCGAGAGGACATCAGCTTGGATGTAGACAGCTTGGTTGGCATGAAGATCCTATTTCCATGGACTAGTAAGTCCAAGATTAGTACTCAGTGACCTGAATGAAATGAGGAATTACGAAGTTAACTTCCTACTGCAGAAGATATTCTGGAAAAAAGAATGAGAGGGATGTTGTCACATATATTCACAAAATTTCATCAGTGAAAAAAGGGAAGAAAAACTGAATATAAAGCTCATACATAAAATCTAATTTACATCCATTCTAAGGACAGACACACTTCAGCCTACCTTAAAAATGACTTCCTTCTAATGCTACTACAGTCTACATATACATAAGCAAAATGCCTTAAGATCTCTGAAAGATTTCAGGAAAGCATATTTCCTTCTTACCATTTTCCCACATGCTTCATCAGGGGTTTTACCCCTAAAGACTCCAAAGTCCTTAGCTTTCTGGTTTACTTGCTTGTTTTACACTGGAAAGTTTGCATGGCATCCCTGAAACTATGTAGTAATACTACAGAAACTATTGACATTTGAGGAAAACGGAGAACTGGGAGGAACAGGAGGAAAAGCATGCGATAAAATGGGAGAAACAAGGCGTCAATCTTGTTAATAATGGTGGAACTATTCTGATAAAAAATTGAAGCTCAGGATTAGATACAGTTTTGCTCTCAGTACTAGAAGCTGGGATATGAATCCAGGTCCTTTGGTTATACAGTCTTTAATTTGAGCTCAAGATAACATTCATTTAGTTTTTATTAAGTGTTTAGACAGGGTCACTGAACTGAACAAGAAGATTTAATGAACTGGAAATCTCTAAAAAGCAAGTCATAGAAATTAACACAAGAAACATGTAAGTAGTATGTTGTTGTCTTTTAAGTGAAATACATCAGCAGAAATACATGACTTCTGGAGAATAGATAGTTTTTAAAAAACTTTGTAGCAATATGTGAAACTGAACTGTATCCAGTTTAGTAAAAAATATACTACAACTGTATTAAAATAGCTGTTCAATGTTACTGATTTATAAATATCATTCTAACGTAATTATATGTGCTGACTGTTACAACAGCATTAAAAATTGTTTTGTGCATAGAAAACAAGCTTTGCAGAAAAGATGTATACATTTCATAATCTGATCAAATCAGTAAGAAAGAACCTTTAGGAAAATACTTTAGACAGTTTCTGTTGATCTAAATATGCAGATTAGGGCTTCAGAGTCTCTGTTCACCCGGTTTGCTCTAAATGCATAGGACTGCTGAGTTATGGCAGATCGTCCTTCTCAGGCCAGATTTGTTTTGCTTTGCTACCTCATATGGAAGGGTTAGTGTGTACATGCAGAAGCATAATTCAGGAACAGTAAGGCACAAATATCCAAACTTCAGTAATTTTATAACAATCTTCAACTGATTTCTAATTTGAATATATATCCAATTAATTTTGGATAAGAATAGGAAGACAAAGGCTGCTCTTACAGCTTAACTTTTTTCAGTAAATGCATGCTCTGACTTCAAGTTTTTCTTACTTTATCTGGTCAAAATGTTCTAAAAAAAAATCACTATACACTTACACACTTGAGAACTGTCCCCAGTATTGTTAAAATAGTAATAAACTGTTCAACTGTGTGATATTGGTGCAAAAAGTTTGGATCCTTAAAATGCTTGGTATTGAGGAAAGAAATGCTCCCTTCCCAAGTAAAGGAAATTTTAAAAGGGTAATAGACACGATCAAAGTCTAAACTTACTTTATGAAAGGAGATAAGATTGATTTAAGATTAATAAGATTTAAATACTGACAGTACAAAAACAGAAGAGTATGTACAAAAAAAGAATAATCAAGATTTACAGATAAGAAAAGCTGTGGCAGAGATTGTCCTGCTGTATCTATGGAGGAAAAAAAAAAAGGAAATGGTCAGATTGTAACAATAACGTTTGTCTTACTAAAACTGGGGTGTACACTAATATCCCTATCACAAGCTACATAAGCCAGTGTAGGAATGCTCTGTAACCCAACAGAAAATCCTGCTGCTGAAAAGCGAAATTAGAAAATTACTAACTGAAATCAAGTGCCTCAAAACAAACAAACAAACAAGGATAATCAATCTTAAAATTGGTTGCTGAGGGTTGTGGCATAGGTATTATCATTTAGAATTTTTAAAATCATGACAGATTTTTTTTTTTCCTAGAAAGACATTTCACTGTATTTCAATCACGACTTAAACCTCCAGCGTTGTTACAGAGGAAGTTAGATTATCTGATCTCTACATTTATAAGCTGGCTTTAAAATTTTACCCAATGGAGGTAGATGTTTTTCCATATGTAGCTCTTTAACAACATACATAGGGTGCTGTTCATATACAGGTAAAATAAGTTTATTATCAAGTTGAGCTTAATTTTGAATTTCTTTGGATTACATTACTCAAAGATGCATTGTTATTTTAGATACGTTTACAGGTAAGGTTTCTCTCTGGAAACAACAGCAAGTAATCATAAGGAACCACAATATTGAAACCAGAGTATTTGAAACATTGTCCCTGAATGAGAACAACAAGGTCTAAAACATTATGACGGAAAAAGTTATTTAAAGCAGAAGAGAGAAAATTGTAACTCTATAGTACTTTTACATGCAAAGTACAAGCTTTTGCAGAAGTGTAAATCCTACTACTGTGTTTTTCCTCAGTGACTAAGTCCATATATAGATCAAGCATTAACATTTAGTATAATACAATAATGTGATTTGAGCAGCGATGAGAAAATACTTTTCAACAATTACTTGAGGTTCTTATCTTCGTTTTGTATCTGTTCTATCACTATGGCTATGCAAGTCCTAAGTAATGTTTTAGGGTGACATGAGACTTGAAACAGAGGAAGGATAGAGCTAAGGCTATGCCGGTATAGTAGAGCTAAACAACATATAAAGGTGAAAAGGTCAACCTTAAATGACTAGAAATTCCTTTTCTTTACCTTTCTTTCTACTGTTATTAACAAAGTTACATTATATTAAATTACTTTTATATAAAAGAACTCATATGAGATATACTAAGCAATAGGATATATATACACAAATGACTACTTACTAATTAGCCAGGTGCCTTGTTGACTTTTAACACTAATCAAATTAATGAACATGCATATAATTAAAAAATTTTAAAAGAATTTTTTTTTTTTTTTTTTTTTTTTTTAAAACAAGCATTTGGTTTATTGGTTTTATTTTTTGCATTATCACTATATTCTTCTACGGCATTGGGTTTTGGATCTAATGCTATTTCAGTATAACCTCACCAACATACCTATGATACATATGACACTCTCTAAACTAACTCCACCTAAACTCCCCTAGGGAAGTCATACGGCAGCACTCTCAGTTGCTATTCTTCAGCATCAGAATATACAAAGGAAGTGTGGTACTTCTGTTTGCAAGTTACATGAGCTGCAGGAAAGTGCTGCAGTACATATACAGTCATAAAATGCCTCTAAGTGGGTGTTGTGCAATGCAATGCCATCAGGAAAGCTCTTCATGCTCTTCTAGGCATGTGCTGTATAGCTAGAACATGTAATCACTGAGAAATCAAGAGGATGTAAGGTAACGCAAATGCACGTCAATACCAAAGAGCTGCAAACTCTGTTAGGACTCTTGGGGACCAAGCACGACACCACCACTCCTCCCCTCCCCCTGCATGCCACACACACTTAACCTTGTTACATGCCAGAGATCTTACCAGTGTTAATTAAAAGACACTGTTATTTCCTCCTGAACCTTACAAATACTAGCCTTCAGCCTGGTAAAAGCTCCCACCTGTGACTTTTAAAATTAAGTGTGAACTGCACTTAAAATCAACACTCCACATCTAGAGTGAAATTATCACAGCCCTTTCTTTTTAGAGTTTGGAAAAAAGATGGACTAAGCTGTAAGTTTTTAAAGTGATTGTATTTGAGACGCTTTGGACTAAAGAGGAGCAAGTTCCAAAGCATGAGAGTTCTCCTAAAGAAGGATCTCGGAAACCCTGCAGTTTCAAAAAACTAAGCGGCACCGGAAGCATTTTCTGAGCAGAACAATCAACATAAATTGGAAGGCAACACATCTAGTTCTACACAGAAAATGGCTAAGTAGCTTATGGAGACTGCGAAGCCTCTATAGTTTGCCATTTAATGTCTAGAGTCTAAATGAAATCAGGGATCTGTCTAATTACACAATGTATTATTGCTATAGTCTAATCTTCACATTCACAATGGGAACAACGACAGCCCTCAGCAATGAGCAGAGATTGGTTCCTTGAAGAATTTTTAATTCACACCAGAGGTCACAGATTTCCACATATCAGAATATGTCTGAGGTAATACATGACACTGGTGTAGGACTTGGAGCAAGATGGATGATCTGTATTTATAACTGTAAGAGAAAATAAGATACAACAGCAAAGAAGAGATGACTTATGTTGCCAGTTGCCTTAGTCTGCTAACAAAGTATCGGCTGTTATATCCTCTGCAGAACTGCTGTTCCTAACTGCAGCGAGCGGATGCTTACTAAGGAGTGTTAGAGCCTGAAGACAGACACTCCACACTGTAGACAGCGGGAGAATCGTTGTAGGCTAGCAGAAGAGCTCAAAAGAACTGACATTGAGGAACGAAGAATTAGAAGCTGTGCTATGATCTCATTCATATCTCCATGCAGGCTCACAAAATACTTCTCTTGTCTCCTTAATAGTTTACTATAAAACGTACTAATGATAGTTATTTACTTACCTTCAAAGTGACTGCTGTTGCTTTGATAATAAAGTCATTTACAGATACTTTAATGTCATCTGCAAAAAGAAAAGAAAAAACAACAAAAAAAAATTATGAGCAGTGATTATCACCATTATGCAATGACACAAGTTGCCAGTGATTCAGTAAATCTGTTTCTTTGAAACATTATCAGAAAGACAATCAAAAAGCTTAAGTTACTCATCTTTAAAGGACACTTTTTCTCCCTCGGGACAATAAAAGTATCACCCAGCTAAAGTCTCCTGAGCACAAATATTCTTCCTATTTTTTGATATAAGGTCAAAAAGCTGCATGCTTGGTTTGATTTTTGAGAAAACCAAAACAACAAACAATGTTCAAAAAAAATCAGTGGAATTGAGCTATTCTTTGCCTTTCAATTCAAATCCTAACCTAGGTTTCCTGTGGACTCCAAGCACAATAACTTTAACAGTTATGGGAGAGAAGTACCAGCAACCAACAGCTGTTATTGCAGTTGAATATTTAACAAGGAAATGATACAGCAAAACAGGATGTAGGAGAGGGTGGGTACCATGAAAAGAACTGAGAGATTAGTAAGTAAATGTGTTACTTACTGAAACCACAATAAGCAGTAATTCCTTCCACATCTTGCACCATTACATACAGACAATCCATTCTTTTCATCCCCTTGTCTAAGAAACTCACTTACTGCACGTGCACAATATGTGCACGTTTCCTTCCAAGCACACATTTAGCTTGCAGGACAAGGAAGTTGTGTTCTACTCTCAAATATGAATGGAAACAACAGTTAAAAAAAGAAAAAAAAAATCTGTGAATCAAAAGAAAATACAATCCTTTTCCTCTGGCTGACTCCCTAAGCAAACGTACATTCTTTGTCTTTGACATCATTTAAACAAAATAAAAAACACTGACTTGTTATTACAGAAGGATGATAATTTACTCCCCCAAAGTGAATACTGGACAAATATGCGTAAAAAGCAGTGCTGATCTAAAACGAAGAAAAACAATGCCAATCACTCAGTACTTAAGGCTTCAGGAAAGGTATTAAGCCTTACTGTCATGATTTAGTTTGAATAATATGTGAATGAACAAGTTAATAAACTAAAAACAAAAATGACACAAACGAAAAACAGTATTAGCTAGAAGATACATATAATAAATTCGGGAGAACTGGATTTTTTTTTTTTTTTTTTTTTAAGAGTGAGCTTAAGGAATACTGAGCATCACCTAGTACATTTGATTCCTGTCCCCCAATGGATAAGACCACGGAAGAAAGCAGGGAGTGAAAAAAATAGCTATAATTGCTCTGCATTATTTTTTAAAAGCTTCAGGAGACCAGAAGGACTAAGTATAATCAGCTCTGACAAGAGAAGCAAAGCCTACAGATACATTAGAGAGTAACTGCATACTTGGTATAGCATTATTCTGAAAATATGAGAGACTTGCACAATATTAAATGCATTATCCTCAAAAAAAGCTGTATTAGTCTGCTGTTGTCATGACTGCTGTCAGCTGAACACCTCAAGAAGCACAACTACTTCATTTTGGAGAATAGTTTATGGCACATAATATACATGTCTTTAGAAATGCTTTTATAAGAATTAAATTGAGATTAATTTTCCATTTATGTGAAATTTTCTTAAGTGATCGTTAGTTCAGAGGATTGATCCAAGTATTCATTTGCCACGAAACTGACCTATGATGCTTACTGTGATTAGCAGTTGTCTTAAGAGTCATACATCACATACAAACCTGTATCTGTCAAATATATTTTGATATTTCATAGGGTTTTTTTTTTGATTGATACATTATATTCCTAACTTTAGGCAAAAGTGTTACTGTCCACCAGGGCAAAAAGACAGTGAGAATATAGCAGTATAGTTAAATGAGCTACGACTGCCATATTTTACCCAAAATCATGAATGCTTACAGTACAGAATGCTGCATTAAACTTTCAGGTTACGTCTCATCATATAATAGAAATCACCACCACTTCTGTTAGAACACTTTTACCAGGACTGTCTCTTCAATTCAATTTTATGTTAAGGCATAGGGCTCTTTCCCACTCCCGCACACTTAAACTTCATAAGAATCTACAGCAGTAGTAAAGGCATGTAAAGATTTCTAAGTAAACATTCCTAAAATAATTTTGTACTTTATTTCTCCTTAAGACTTGCTGCTGTTTAAATAAAAAATCAATTTAATAAATTGCCTTTGACATTAACTTGCAAATACGATATCATACAAAAAGGCAGAAGAACGACCTGGATACCCTTGCACTAAAAAGTAGTCATTCTGAACTCCAGTGAAAAAAGCAGCACATCCTGTACCACCACAATCTAGAAAATGTGAATATACCAGCAGAATTTAATTTAGGGCCTCACAAATAGAGAAAAGAGCGTGTGCTAGTCACCAGCACATAACAGTAACCCCCACCAATATCAGCATTTTAGTTACTATGCCCACAACTCTGTGACACCGTGGAGGAGAAAACTCACAGAGTAAAGCACGTGGAATAGTGCTTTAACACTCATGAAGGGCTTACATCTTATACTATAATGTCACACCAAAAGACCTCTATATTTGCGTACCTGTAGGAAAAACAAAAGAGCATAAATTACTGCTTTTAGAAATCTCTGGATGCATGCAAATCTTTTATTATATCAAAAAACGATGGGTCAAGGAGAGAGAAAGAATACGCTTGTCTTGCAAAGAAGCTGATATCACCAGATGAACGCTTATCTGTGTCTAAAGCCTAGCTGATGACTCTGTCCATAGAGCCTATCAAGGCTAACTTAATTAAGATAACCTTGAAAAACCTTATCCAGACACGACCACACGATAACCAATTCATTTAAGTTTAACCTGGACCTTGAAGATTCTTTTTGCTGCTGTACTGAGACAATAACAAAGCTGCTTAACCTGGCCACAGAGGCAAAGCTCTCCGTAAATCCTTCTGCTACTGTGTGTTAGCATCTAGATGACCCCAGTGAGGGAAACCTATTAAACATTTAAGCTAAAAGAGATGCCACATATAAAAGCTATAATATCATTCCAGAGGAGCGGGTAGGGGGGAAGCTGTACATGGATCAATATACCGTACTGGACTGATAGGATGCCTTTCCCTAAAGACATGAACATTACTCATTTGAGTTGATCTTGGTATTGTTGAACAACATGCTTACAGATCGGATCAAGAAAGTGTCTGAAGGCCTGGGTGTTGTTTAAGGTAACTACGATCCCATTTTTTGCAAAAACAAAGGCTAAGATATCCTTCTACTCTTGTTCCAACGCTATCCTCCTTTATACTGTTTTAAAAGGATATCCTAAGAAGAAATAAAGACAGGTAAATAGCAATAAGAATATCTTTTTGGCCACAGCACTGCATGAAGCCATCTCAATTTGCTTGAAAAGCAACCAATTGTGGAACATCACACAATTAGAGTAATAAAAAAATTATTTTGAGATTACTAATCCATAAATAATGTTCAAAGTGCATTAGGTAATTTCTCTGCAATTGAGGATTTGCTAGAAAAAAACGATAGTATTTGATCACCCAGGAGCCAACTCTCAACTTTTGAGAGTTGAGGCAATGAAATACAGACTCCAAAGTCACAAAGGCACTCCTGACCACTTATCCATTGTTGTTTAAACAAACTTATTAAATATCATTTTCTATTATTACTATTTTTTTTATTCATATACTGTTTTAAACAGATACATAACAGTGTCAAATTACTACATGTTATATAGAGCAGCTACATTCAGAGGATACGAGAGCTGCAAAAAAATACTACTCAAAAGTTAGGAGACACCAGATTTCAAAGCTTTCTTTGCAACTGTAACCGGTTTCCTCTTTCAACAACTGGAAATCGGTGTGACATTAGGGCATCTATTCACAAAGCAGGATGGATTGTTTATCACTGCTAATTCCTTGCTAGAAGAAAAACCCTTTCTTTTCTCTCTCACTTGACCTCGGTTGAAATTGAATCTTCTACCTCTGGGATCCTCAAATGAATCTCAACTTGTTCAGATCATCTGAAGCACTATTTGCATTCATCATTTCTGCAAAAGTAACATTTTTTCCATCTGTCAAATTCACTTAAATTCACTTCAAGTACCAGCACAGCCTCAAATGAAGAAAACAAGCTTTATGTTTTCCAAATCAGATTGATTAAAACTCTGTGTTTCTAATCATGCACAAAAGAATAAACTTAAAGAAAATTAAATTTTAAATATTCATAATGATTTTTTTCCAGGCTGTCATTTAAGTTCTCTATGATATTGCTTAGCTACAACGGCTTAACAGAGACACACCTCAAGGGGGCTATCTTCCAAAACCAACCCCTACAACTGATTAGGGACCCGTCAACTTCACTGTCCCTGGAGCTACTTACACAAAGCCCTCCAAGTCTAGATCTTTTCCTTTTTTTTTTTTTTTTTTTTAAACAGTTTTTTTTCCTTCTCATTATTTTCAACTAATGCAGTGTTCAGATGTACAGCAAATATGCTGTAACTCAGATTTCCTCCCGCATCATTCTTTTAAGGTCTCTTCCTTGTCAACTTGGATATGCTTCTTCATCTTTTCAAAGGTTTCACTAAATGTACCCATATTATCATTGAAAAGCAAGGTCCTCATACTCTTTCCTGACTTTTCAAAGTTGTTACCACACTTTATTAATGATAATTAGTATTTATTGTACATTCACTCAACTCAAATCATAACTTTTAACTCAATAGTTTTTTTCCAGAAGCTGCATATGATAATAGTAATACTTACGACAGATCTAGCATTTAGAATTCTAAGTGGCTTTCACCATTGTTGTCAGTTTTAAATTAAACTTCAGGGTGTGTGGCATTTGTCAGGACTAGACCTACTTTGTACAGGTTAATCAAAGTTACAGCAACACCAGCATTAAGCAGCTCCAACTTTCATGCTCTATTCTAAGTCCTTCAATAAGAGAGAAGGCATTCAGCTTCTTAGGCAGCGCAGCCTGAGAAGCTGCACTTCTGAATTTACATTTTAACGTAAATTAAAACTACTCTGCAATACTATACTGAATGAAGAGTTTACATGGCCTTGAATTTGGTGGCTAAAGGAAATGCCTTAAGAATCACTGCTTTTACACCATGGGAAAAAACAGATTGAAGTAAGCCTGCTGCTTAAAGAGACCACTGCCTGAAGACTACTCTATAATGCTGTAGAAAATAAATACAGGTTCTGCTGGCAATAATTCATTCATAAGACAAAACACAGCAAATACATCAAACTGCAGCATGGCTCAGTTTTCTTTAAAACGCTCAATTTTCAGCTGCCTAGCTAAAAACATGCTAACGGCACTAGCTGACAAGTTTCAAGAGGCAAACTCCTTAAGGATTTGTCTCCTGGAGCTCACCATGTGGCCAAAAGCTTGCAAGTGTAGGGGCTTCTCCACTAATCTCAGTAAATAATACATAGCGTACTGCATCACCAGCACAAAAAACAAATAATGCTTTCAGAGGAGAAAAGGGCATTTTCTCCTTTGCTAGCTGCTACAGTTCTCTCTTTAGGAAATAAATTGAATCTTATTACTTGTATTTCTATGTGGTGGAGTTCAGTTATTACCCTTTTTCAACTTTATTACTTCCACTAGGCTTCAAGCACGACTACACTCCGTAATCTACTGTCAGTGAAGAGGCTTTTGTCTTTCTTTTTAATTGCTATATTCTCCACAGAACAAGAAAGCTAGGATATTAATTAAAGATTACGTTCAATCTCATATCATTGACCATTCTGACTCCTCATGAGACTAGTGCTCAAGCACACAGAGTGGGGTGGTCTAATTTAACTGTCAGAAGGCTGGGATACAATACTCTGCAGCAGTGTTGCTCCTCTTCGTGAACTCTGCATGAGAAACGGCTTTAAATTCATGTGAAGGCAACTGAGTGCGCTAAACTAATTTTTAGAAAATACTTTAAATAAAAGCATGTTACTAAAGAGCAAGATGCCCTAGAGGAAGATAAGCGCATCAGCCACTGAGCTGCAAGTCTGTCTTGATCAAATTACTTTACAAATTTCAAAGCCTTATGAAAGCATTTGTTTCTAAATTTCTAACACTTGTGTTTATAAGCAGATTGCACTGTTTTGGTATCCTTTTTAGAGAATATTGAACTGGCTACCAAATCAAAAAACCCAAAATGCCAATATTTATATGTAACTGCAAGACATTGCAGTTACCCACAATTAATATATTAACATTAAACAATACTTTTGTACAATTAAACAATGTAAAGTTTTCCACAGTAAGCACAAGATTAAATTTTGGCTTAACATGTTCATGAACTATGAAATCGTAGCCACCTCCTGTACACACCATTAAAATCAGTGTACTGATCAAATATTTCTAAATGTAATAAAAATGATTTTATTTACAGAGATTATGAAGCTAAAGAAGAAAGAATTTCCACTCAGGTTCTTTACCTAACAAAGCAGGAGTCCCTAAACAGAAAGAAACTAAGCAAACAACCCTTCCACAATATTTTGCATGAAAATGAAGTACATGCCTGAAGAGTATTCAACTGAAAATTCTTGCCTTTTTTTCTAAAAATGCTTGTCAGATTTTCTTTGCTGAATTGGAGAAAAAGATTATAGTCTGAATAGTTAATTTTGAAACTATTAAAACATCCTGCTTCAAAGTATACTCAGCTGATTTTAGCAAAAAAAGAGACAGTGTCAAGCAATATCAAGCAATTTGTAGGAGCGCATTACTTTAAACTTAAGGAAAATTTTCTAAATGAGTCCCTTAAACTCTCCCATTTTGTCTCAACTTGTATTCACATTTTTTAAACACACTATACACATTAAGATTTATAGCTTAATCGAATTCTGAATTGATATTTTAAAATTATCCAATTTTCTGTGGGACACAATTCCATTCTTCTACCAGCTTAAGTTAGCTTTAAGCACAGATTTAAGTTTCAATGAAAGAGACAGCCCTGCTTCACTTGCATTAAAAACATTACTTTGCCCTAACGGGGAGTTTACTATGCATTGGCTGACCTGTGCCAAGAACCTGCCTCCTTTCCTCACCAAAGCCATACTCATCCAGTATCTGAGAGACTAAATTAGCTTTTCTTTTCCAGTGAATTCAACAAACAGGCCAGCAAAACTAAACTTTAATATTGTACCTAGAAGGACTGAGCAGGAGTATATTTTCATTTAAAGTTCCCATTATCATTCTTCACATGGATAATTTGAATTTTTAACTACTGAAAGGTTGAATGTTGTTAAACAGAAGTCCTGTGCAATCTGAAAAATGCATCTGGATAGAAGGAAACAAAAACCTACTGGATGACGAGTAGTCCTGTGTTAAATTGCAGTTGTTTACAGTATTATGTTAGTTGGCAAAGTAACACCTTGGTCTTCCCATCTCTTGATAAGCTATCAGATTCCAGTAAACACAGGGAATTATAGCTTCTGATATATGAATGCCAAAAAAAAAAAAAAATCATTTGAATGCATAGTGTTCTGCCCACACAAAATCTACAAATCCTGGACAAGACATGATGAAAACCAAGCAAAGTACATATTAGTCCAATGTATTATAGGAAATCAGTTTAATCACTAACCTTTGGCCAATTCTTTCCTCAAATTCAAAATAGCATCAATGTCACAGTCAGCAGCAACATATGCATGAGGTATAGTAGTTTTAGACTCTGTTAATCTCTTAGCAATAACTCTTCGGATGTTGCTAGCTGGGATTTCTGTGAACGTGCCCTGAAAAAAAGTCATATGCTGTATATTAGATATCAAGAAAGAAAACATACTTCCCTTTTGCTGAAACAGGACTCTGGCATTGATGTGTTGTCATCAGTGACGCTTGCTGACTTAGAACAGCCCCTAGATATCAAAAAAGCAATATATTTCAACTACTGAAAGTAATATGATTCATATCAGTGATTGTTCTATTCCAGTATAATGAATCCAGATCAACGCAACAGGTTATACAGAGTTAAGATAGTTTTACTCTACAGTATAGAATTAATCCTACTATTCTAGCAGACTGCTTCAAAAATATTTCTAAATACTCAGGCCTTAAGACTCGACTAGGGTAAAAGTACTGTTCCATCTGGCAGCTTGACTTGATATATTGCTTAGAGTACGCTTTGTTTCATTTTAATTGTGGCAGAATATTTCCTCAGCAAGCTATTGCTTTTTCAAATGAACACACAAGCTGTATTTAAATGCTAGAGTGTGTAAATTACTCCTCAATGTCACCCCTAAGCCCTTCCCATCCTCGCTTCTTGACAATTCATCAACGGACATTTACCTATATTGCATGAAAATGAATGAATGAAATGAAATGAAAATAAAGCAGGATTCATGTTTCTCCAAAGTCTAGAAACACACAAACATACTGATTGTGCAGGTATTTGGGGGAGGGGTGCATTGTTGGCTTCCAAACCGGTCGCATCTTCCTCTTTGGGGATTGAAATAAATTGCTGACTTGTCCCTTTCCAGGCAGAACAGCTTGCAAAGTAAACTTGTTCATGGCTTCAGTTTCCAACTTACACCAAGTATTGTGCAGGCTGGAATTCTGAGAGTTCTGCAGTTTGAATTACACTTCTGTAGAATCATTTACACGTGCTAAAAATTGCAGGCAACTGGACTTGGAGTTTGCGCGGCCTCAGTTTCCTTCCTTTCTCCAGTTCTGGAAATCTCATATAGCTATCTAAGCAGCAGTGGCAATATTTAGCCGTAAAAAAGCTGAAAACTTAACAGAAATGTTACCAGTGGAGCAGGTTGTCCTGGTGTGGAGACTGGTGGAACTGCTGGCCTTGGATAAGCAGAAGTCACAGCTGTTGCTGGTGGAGTAGAAGGCACTGTAGCAGGCTGGGGAGGGGCTGGAGAAACCACAGGTTTCAGTTCAGTGGGTTTGCCCTTCTCCTTCTCTTGGAGAAGTTTGAGAGCATCCCTGGTGATTAAACATACAGGGAAATACTGACAAAGAAGCAGCTATTTCAAAAATTCCCAAAGTATTATCATTTCATCACTAACTGATTAGCAGCTTTGTCATATTTGAATTTCTGTTGTCAACCCAAACATCAGAAAGGTGATTATTTTTAATTGATAATAATTTACTAAAAACTCAAGTTATCAAGAGAGAGACATTTAAAAAATTCTCATTAATTTCTGTGACTAAAAAGTCTAGAATACACACTAACAAAAAGCATTTGTGTTAGAGACCCATGATATTCATCATCACTAACTGTCAGTGTCCAAGGTATTTTTTTGCATTATGCTAAAAATTCTTGTTAATATCATAGTACACTTATTCAGGCTATAACTGAGACTCAAATAAAAGCTGTTTCATTTGTTACTTGTGATCGCTTGCATTTATGTAACTAATTAGTTGTGACAGGTTTCTAATGCTATTTTATAAATAATGCTCAGAGGAAATTAAGTCATTTATCATTCATGTCTTTATGCCCTTCTGAAATAAATACGCTCTCACAGAATTAGGTAGACTTCAGATGCACTTTGAAAGATATCAGCAGCACACTAAAGAACTAGAAACAAAAATTGAATGGTACCAAACTCAGTCTCACACATAGCTGAACCTTATCTGCTCTTTAGGCATCCTCCAAGGATCTTTATACTGATGTAGCTACCACCACAAAACTTTCCTCTTGTGGGCACAGTCGGATAGAACAAAAAAGCTCTGTTTGTTCTATACAACACCTACTACTCATAGGAGCTGACTTGCTCCAATGTATTCTTTTCTCCTCAAATACATACTTCAGTAAATGATATTAAAAAAAGAATGACCTCAGGATGTACAGTCACTGCTACTAAAGTTGTTACTTATTTTACGCTTATTTTGGCTAACATTTCAATTTGGTAAAGCAAGTTTTTAGTATTTAATATAACTACCAAATTGAGGAAAAAATTCTAATTTTCATTTAATGAAAATCATCCTATAGCATTACAATGTAAGGGGAGGAGGAACAAAAAAACCAAAAAACCCCTACATGACACATTGCAACTTTCCTAGTTAACATACTACAAGCTACCAAAGATTATTTAAGCATTTTAGCTTGACAGTAGTAGGACCATGTGCTTGTTATATCACTTACATAATACACAGAATAAAGTTTTGTTTTAACTTTTTACATAATTTCAAAGCAAAGGAAGTGCTTTAAATTACTTCCCTATATTACGCCAATGACATAACAAACAGATGGTCCTACCTATTATTGCAATGTCAAAACGCTTTACTAATTTTGGTGGCTTTTAGTGTGTTAACTGAAAACCTTATTAGCAACATTGAACTTATTTTTAGATTAGAAGATTAGTCTTTGAAACTCATGAATGAGTACAAGATATTAACTTCTTTACAGCAGATTCTTCCAGCAGAGTCCACCTGATTTAACTGATTAAGAGGCACAGCAGTGTTAAGACAGTCACAGGTGCAAGACTGGGAGCCTGCAAATAAGCAGAGCTGGAGGATTCATCAAAGCGTATCAAGTTAAACAGATTTCTGGACAAGTCAGGCAGGTAGATCTTTCCTTAGAATTCAGAAGGGTTGGTCACATCTTTCCTTTCCAACGACTGTAAAAAACCCTTGTCAGCACAGCACAGGAATGGAGAAAGAGATGGCAAACATGAAAGAAAGAGAGCATCCCCTGGTGGCAGTTATTGTTACTAAATTGTCTCAGTCCTCTTGACTCAAACACCTGATTACTCAGTTCACCAGAGGCTCCCTGGAAAAGGGAGAAGGTGAGCAAACAATGTTATGCAACAGAAACTTAATTTCTAAGTATCAAATTTATTGCACTACCAGCATTATAAAAAAGAAAAATTACTCATTCTTTCGTAATGGCAGTTGAAAAGTTGTACTAAGTATGCTTCCCACTGTAAGTCTGCACTTATTACAGATACAGGAGATGACTTTCTGGAGTAGGAGCACTACACATGTCCTGCATCCTATTTTCAAAGGGAAAGTGCAAATGACAGAGCAGTTCTGAAATCCCCAATCACACTAGCTTAGTGAGAGCATGTCATCAGGTCCAGGTGGGAAACTGCTTCAGAAAGCCACAGTCATTACAGGTAGCTAGCCACTTTTTTTTTTTTTTGGATGCATTTAAAATAGCTTGACAAATAGTAAGTAGAACAAGAAAGGGCAGGAGGAGTCTGAGACGATCAGCAACTGCAACATAGCTCTCAGGATGAGAACCTCTGAGCTGACGACAACGAACGCGGTACAGTCTGTAACAGAAGCTCTGAGTTACTCTGTGCTGCCATTTACTGATTTTCTTGTATCAGTGTATCTCTGAAGAGAGCAGAGGATATTACTTGTTCCTTAGTAAAATAAGTCATGGTCTTTGGTGGAGGAGAAGATACTTGCTAAGTAACGATACATGGAAACACATGTCATTGTACATTTGGAACAAGCCTTATCATTTTCAGGATTTTATTTTGAATACAAACTAGCAGGAGGGGAATTTAGCACCACACATACAATCCAAATACTATGTTCACTGAAGTAATGCACTGTGTACAAAAAATTTTTTATATTCCTAATTTTATTAGGAAGTTTCCCTTCTAACTTGACTGAGAAACAGATTAGTACTCATCCAGAGCACCATGCAAGTTAAATTAAATATTATTCTAATGTTCAAAAACGGCACCTTCTCACTGTACAAAATTACAAACACTAACTAATCCACTTAGATGTGAAACTTGATACACAATCAAACTAACTCGATCGAACAGGGAACTCAGTGACAAGAACAGCACTCACTAGTTCCGGTTTCAAGTAAAGTTAAGTTAAAAAAAAAAAAAAGTAGCTTATAATGAAGCTTTTTTTGTAATATCCAGAGGATAGCAGGCAGGGGTGGAGGTAAGTAATGGTAACCTATACTGGGAGAGGGAGGGGGAGAGGGGGAGGGGGAGAGCTCATTACCACCGCAAGGATAATTGTGATAATTTGAAATGATGAGAGAAGTCACAGCTTCAAAAATAAAAAATTAGTAAGTCAAAGGAATCTAACGGTGACTGATAAAATACTGAACACGATCTTCAACGCACTCATCCATTGTGCCACAAAAGCACTACTTGTTCTTTTAACTGATCCATAAGCAGTACATCACGCACACAGTATAAAACAGGCATCGTTAGCTATAGCATTTCAAATGGTCAAATGGCTACAAAAATAGGTTTAATAAGTCCATACTGAAAATTTAGTCCATCAACTACATTATTTATCTAAAAAAAGGGGGGGGAGGGAGAGAAATATTGCCTTGCCACTTCAAACAACAAAAACATGCAAGAAGAGGAAGGTCTCACACAGATGCACAGAAAAATTAAATATCAGCTTACAAAGGGAGCAGATTATAGCAGCAATAGCTATCAGGTGAGACCTCCTATTGCTGTTACAGTAAGTTTCACAGTGAATTTAATTTAAAGATAGAAAAGTGAACAGGGAAGGACCCTGCTTGCTTACATAATTCATACTATCTTTCTTTGTTTCTTGTAGCCTTGTGACCTCCGCTCAATAAGCAAATTCATTTTTTAAAAGTGAAAAGTGAACTGGCTACAATCCCAGAAAGGATCAATTGCTAGTATATTTGGAAATGAGATATTGAGTCACTCAGCTATATAACATGGCACATACTTTGCTAACTTGAGACTCACATTAAAGAGTATTTCACTGAGTATCTGTAGTATCTCTCAAAAAAAAAAAATCTGCAAACATTTCTGTTCAAACTGTACATAATAGCAGAGCCTGCAGGCTCTAACTAACATTACTTCAAAGGAATGGTTAAAATTGCAGCCCGTATCTTAAAATGACATTTCAAAGTGAAAATCTTTTGTGCAGAAGAAAAGTTTTCGGGGAAAAAAAAAAAAAAAAAGGACTTTGCTAGTTAGATTACTATAGCTACAAAAAATTCTTTACTATATCTCCATGACAAGTAGGGAATGTTAATTAGGTGGCTCAAAGTCCTAGAGGGTTTCCACCCTGCCATGGACTAGTCACACACCATAAACTCCCTATTTTATCTAAATTTGGCCAAAGACTATAGGAAAAACAATTGGAAAAAGTAACAGACTTCCACTGTTTGCTTCTCCATTCAACTAACAGACTAATCTGTCTTTCTATATATGGAACAAAACTTACAGCAGCTAACAAGGTCTGTGTAGGTGAAATTCTGATTGTTCAAAAGATTGTACTGTTCAAAAGAAAAAAATTTACTGAGAACAAAAATAAAAAATATATATTCCTGAAGAAAATCCTCTTCTTCAATAACATATATAGTAACACAAAGAAAAATTTGATAATACGCCATTTCAAGGCCACAGTACGTTTTTATACACAAGTTCCTCACTCCAAGGGCCGAAGGCTAAACCCTCGATCAGAATACCCACAGGTATATTAAATACTAGAAGCCTGATCACAAAATAGAGGTGGAAACAAACATTTTTTTAAATGAAAAGTAAGAACAAACAAAAGATGGGAGCAAAACAGAACCATAACCATTACATGTCATTGCTCTGCCCCAGCTCAGAAAAAAGGAAAACTAAATCCTGATAGACTTCATAACGGAACTTCAGCAAAGGAAGCAAAGGATCCAAACCTGAAGGAGCTGAAGAAAACAGGCTACTGTTATTTTCTTCGGTCTCTGACTACATCTCCGAGTAGTGAAATTCTTTAGACCCACAACACTAGCTAACAGTGCGGTTTAGAAGGTGATAGTCACTGTTAGGCTGAGCTGGACGAAACGTGACAACAGTACCACATAGCTCAGCTGGGTGACCATAGTAAAAGTAATTAATGATAAAAGTGTCACAGGCTTCTTACAGTGTCTCCCAGCCTCCCATTCTCCATATCTTCTCGACTAAGTCAAATTTAGTAAGCAATTGCTCCATAGAAGACTGAAAGAAAAAGGTGAGTTTTAAATTATTGGGCTTCCAAGTTCATGAAAACTGACTAGGTTCAAAGGAAGAAGTAACGGAGTAAGAGGTTGTAGCTTTACTGCAATATCTACATACTCTTTAGTGAAGATTCCTCGGGGCCCAGAAGGAGTAATATTGCTTGGATCCAGCCCATGCGTCTCCAGAATGTTGCGAGCTGCAGGACTTAAGCGAATCCTAAAGAAATGAGGAGGAAAAAAAGCTATATAACAATAAAGGTAACTTCTTTCATCTACTGCATATCAACAGAAATGACACACTGTATGCTATATTTCAGCATGGGGAAGAGAAGAGAGATCTGTAAAAAGGCTGTGATACTAACACTGAAGTCACACTGAGCCCCTATCAAATTTTAAAGCAAGATTGAATTTAAACATGAAATAAGGACCCCAAGGGGGTCAAAATAAAGAGCAGAAAACTCATCTCCAAATTTCTGTCTTACAGCAGCAATACAACATACTGGTGGATTCTTCTGGAAAAGGGTCGCAGTACAGAGCTAAATACATCCTTTAAGATCAGCTTGTCCATAGTGACATAAAAAAATGAGTTTCAGGATCTCAGACAAGAGGGTTGCCCACCTCTTATTTGTTTCAGCAGTTGCATCATTAATGCAGCCTAGTTTTAATTATGTTATTATCTTTATCCTAGCTTCAATTTCAGCTTCTGCATTTATTTTATAGGATTGATTTAATGAAATAGATATAGTTGCATGATTCAGTATCTGCTTTAAAAGATTAAATATCAATCCCTCCCACAGTCAAATATTTCAATCATCATATACCTAAGATATACTAGTAAACCTGTACCTGTCATCTTGACCTAGGCAGGATATGCTTAGTAGTAACATTCCAGGCATAAATGGTGCTTAACTACAAAGAACTGTACATAAGCTAGAGAGCACCACTTCCCCATAATTTGATTTCTGAGATGAGGGGAAGGGGGAGAAAAAAAGTAAAAAAAAGGCAAGCAAACAACAGATTTCAAAACTCCTAGATACAGATGTGACAACATTTTCATTAAGTAGTAAGTTCCAAATGGTTCTCCCAAATTTCAGAACTGAGCAGAATCACAGAACGGTTGAGGCTGGAAGTGACCGTTAGAGATCATCTCTGTCCAGATGGTTTTTGAATATCTCCAAGGATGGAGACTCCACAACCTCTCTGGGCAACCTTTTCCAGCTGTCAGTCATCCTCATAGTAAAAAAGTTTTCCTTAGATTCAGATGGAACTTCCTGTGTTTCAGTTTGTGCCTGCTGCCTCTCATCCCATCAGTGGGCACCACTGAAAAGAGTCTGGCCCTATTATCTATATACTCTTCCTTCAGATATTTATACCCATTGATAAGATTCCCCCTCTCCGTCTTCTCTTCTCCAGGCTGAAAAGGCCCAGCTCGCTCAGCCTTTCTTCATATGAGAGATGCTCTAGTCCCTTAATCATCTTACTGGGTCTTTGCTGGACTCGCTCCAGTAGCTCCAATTCATTATTTCCTAAAGGAGACAATACTTGCACCACATTGAATCCTAAAAACTGTCCTTAAGCCCTTGTTAGAAAAAGTGTCATTCGTGATCACATGATTCCAAAAATGTCAATACAACTCTAATTAACCACCGCAGAGAAACAGATGCAGTCCTGAAACACAAGACTTAATCCTTTCAAGTGCTTTGATCTTCCTCCTACTATAGGTAACATTTGGGCCATGACCTCAATTAGTTGTTTTCACATGTCTTCCACCTGCATTAGAAAAGCCTACAAGCTGATAGCAAAAGTAAACATAGCAAATCCAGACATATAAAGACAAAGAGGTTAAAACAAACACATATACCCCCGCCCCAAAAACAGCTCCCACTCCCCCCACAAAACACCAAACAGAACAATTCATCAAGTAGCACATGCTACCAAAAATCAGTTTCCTATTCTTTCCTCTAATAGGCTGTGATTTCACAGCTTTTAAATGTAAACATAATCACCTCTGAATGGGAACTACACAGTTATTTGACTTGGTACTGAATCTAAATGACACAATAACCATGACTACGTAGTCAAATTTTTCATGATAGACTTTTATAATCACTAAAGTCATACTGTGATTATGAATAAAATTCTGCAGTTCATATCATCTGCAGCAATTTTTAAGGAACAACCTGCAACATAAACCAGTGATTTATACGTTATTGATACATAGCTAGCACTTTGGGCTTAATTTACTCCCACTCTAAGCTGTTTTCAGTTTGTCAGGGCAACACGAGTACTAACAAAAGACTAACAAAGAGCGTATAAGGTCAGTCTTGCACTTTCCATATTACTCCATGGCAGGGGGGTGAGGACAGGGGGAGGGCACAGCAGGGGGAAGAAGAGAGACAAATTTTTTTTTAAATATCAGAAAAGTATGAGGGCTTGGAAGGGTTTTGGAGTGTGCCTATTTTTGTTTGGTTTTATAGTTATAGGTAGGTAAACTGACCTTCTGGTGCATAAGTACTGTGTTTACGTATGATGGACACTAATTTTTTCCCCTCATCTCAAACTTTGAATCCTTTGTAATGAGATCACATATCAGAATAAAAGCATACCCACAGAAGGCGTTCTAATAAAATTATGCTTGTTGGAATCAATTTATTGAGCTTAGAAGCAAAGAAATATTCTGGGCAGGCAAGCTTTAATACCTCATATGCACTTAAACAGCCTCTGGAATAACAGCTTAACCCTAAGTGAAATGAGACAAAAGATTCTTTTTGGTGCAGCTCTACTGATCTAAGTAAGGGTTCCATTTCATAATGAAAATAGAAACTCACTGCAGTTTTCCAGGGTGATGTTCTAGCTTAGGAGGAGTTGAAACCGAAGGACCTGCAGGAGTTGAGGTAAGTGCAGCTGCTGGTGGAGCCAGAGAAGATGAATCACCAGCATCAGCTGGTATTTCAACCGCCTTCCAGTCCTGTCCTTCTTCTACCAGTAGACCGATTAGTGAGCCCAAGCGTACATTTTTACTTCCTTCCTCCACCTAAATTTAAGGCAATGAGAACATTAAGTTATGTATTGCACTGTCTAGACTAGTATGACAGAAAAAGGGTAGATGTGAAAATTTCGGTCATATTAATGACACTTCATCAGGGAAATATCTCCAGTTTTATCTCTACTATTAATAATGAAACTTGTGATTGAAATTAACAACAGTTGCTATTTTAAGGTACAGGGGAATACTAACTTCAGCCCCAAAATCCCATACATCTAAAGAAAGGACTCAGAATTCAAAGTGAGCAAGTTACACGCTACTGAGTAGCTCTAAGAACAAAGGCACACTAGCCGCTGAAAATGAACGTGAATGCCTAATCTTTGGCAACTAGGTTTGAAAATTTTGAGCTAAACAGAGCAAACGTACCTTGAGATATCTACACAGTACCTAGCATTGTCGCACTTTAGAACATAGCCTTGTAAATCCAGAAGCTAAGGGACAAGCAAAAAAGAGACCAACACCTGCAAAATCCACAGTAATAACAGTGCCCCATTACTTCTTTTTGAAAAGATAACATTTGCTTCCTCCCCTAACTTCTCCCCATACAATACGACTATTTTAACATGACTCGTGCCAAATAACAAGTCAGTTCACCAGGAAAATATTAGCACTTTTGTGGTATGTAAATCACTGTTTTGGAGAACATCTGCACAGATATCTTACAAAAAGGTAAATAGGATGCAATTAGACTGGATAAGGCAGATTTGTTCTAGGCGTTCCCTTTCAATCAAAAACACTTAATCTGTATCACAGCCAAAATAGCCCTATGATGCTTTAGATCAAAGCATGGTGGCCACATCAATTTAACAACCTAATGAAGGGCTCCTCAATAGAGTAATCATACATTTTTTGGAATGGTTGTGGAAGCGCAACTCTTCATGTCCTCAAAAGAAGTACATTCCCAGGGCATCAGGCCAGATGGCAAAACAGCCCTTTGGGACCACACACAGCCAGACAGAAGTTAGATTGTACAGGCCCAAACAGAACTGAACTCCAAATGAAGGAAATGGACATTAAATCTCTACCCTAAAGCCACATTGAGCGTACCCTTGTCTCAAAGGTGGCTGGTGTATATCTGCAATGCTGACATTTTGCAAATCACTATTAGACATCTGGAAAATCTAAACTAAAAAACAGACACAAAGTAAAAATATACAGAGTATCAGGTAGCATACTGTTCTAACCACTTTACTCAGGTTTTCTAGGTATTTAGCAGTCTATAAACAAGACGGAATGCTGTAAACTGTAGAGGCTGTAACAGGAAGATGCAAACACTAGAATTTTATTACTCTTATCCAAGTTTGCTATCTGCACACTGCTCTGATACTAACTCTACTGGTAGAACGTTTCAGATTTCATAGGATTTTCTTTCTCCTTCCCTAGAAGGGCCAACACCAGACCAAAGTAGGAACAGCAGAGCCAATCCGAGTACGTTCTGATAAAACAGTTCGGATTTACAATTTTGTCAGTCCCCTTCTCTCCCTGTCCCCAAACACCAGGTTAATTTTAGTGTAACTCTTATTCTTTAAGAGCAGTTATCATATGAAAAATCCTCCAGATTTGGATCAATATTTCTTGTTCTGATCTCCTGATGCATTCTTCTCCATTAATATTCTGAACATCTTAACTTCATTTGAGAGAAAAAGAAAGTCTGAAGTGTCAGTCAAGACTTGATCATATTATCTTTTATTGAGATGAGTTTAAAGTACCTGGGGACACAGAATGACAACTAAAAATCCTGAACTGATTAGGCTAATGCTGAAAAATCCTGTCATATAAAGGCCCACTAATAAGCAGATTTTTGTCACTCCATTAAAAACAACCCTGCAAGCTATTCAGATCAAATTACTGCCACCCGTAATCAAATAAAACAATAGCTTGAAGCCAGTGCAAACACAATCTACCCGACCTAATCACCAAAACACAACAATCAGGAAAAAAACAGAAACCAACTATAAACATATAAAATATCAAAATTATTCACTTTCATAGTTTTAAAGCATTATCATACTTTGCACTGAACAAGGCATTTAGAAAACTAAACACGTATCAAATCAGCCTAACACTCAAATTTTTGCTACTGAATGAGTCATACCAATGACAATGCAAAACAGGTACAACCCGTAACTTCAAATAATTTCCATAACATATTAATATATAACAGTTAACATCTATATATGTACATTTATAATTTTTCTTAAACAAAATGGGTATAAACAAATTTTTTTTGGCATGCGCTCCCTTTCCTTTACAAAGGCTTGCATGTGCAATGAAGAACACTTCTATTTCTATAAGCAATCTACATATTATAACTGATTAGGTCAATAAATATTATGACACTTTTGTGGTGTAATGTCCTTATTACGATTTATCAGGATATCAGAGTACTGTAATGGTGCTATGAAAGCACATGCAGAAATCCAACAGAGAGAGTTAAGAAACATGCAGGAACGTTTCTGCTTGCTAGGCTTTGTAATGACCCAGCATTGCATGAGCATTCCCAGCCATCAACGCTGTCAACTCTCACTGTTTATAGCGGGCCTATTATCCTTTTTCTGATATTCATCACTCCTGAGGATGAACAATTATGTGAAAACTCCAGCTTTCCTTGTTTTTCAGTACAAGTTTCCAGCCCAGATGGTCACAGAGTTTACACTTTAAAAAAATTTTTTTTAAGTGTATTTGTGTGCACATGTATAATTTTATTTTAAACACACAGTCTTTGCAGCTCAGGAACTAGAAGAGACAAAGAAAAAATCGTTATTATTTTTCTTAACTTGCTATCTCCTGGATTTTTGACTCATGATTTCTACATTTTCAGAATTCACCATACCAGAAGGAGACCCTTCTGCACAAATCTCCGCAAACTCTTTAATCTCAGATATAGAAAGAGCTGAAACAGAAGTAGCGTGAAGCTACTTCCTCTATGAGGCCACATAGTCAACATGAGTGAAAAGGATCTGAAGTTTGTTAATATAGCAACAAAGCATAGATGAGCCATGACAGGAAGAAATGTTGGGAGGATATTATTCCTCTGAATACTTGCAGTTCCCTCTTAGCTGTTGCCACAGCAGTACAGTGCTTTACACACAGACATATACATCAAGATAGATGTTTTCCCCCTACACTGGCAGGAAACACAGCAGGAACTTACACTGGCCCACTTTACAGTTGAAGTTTTATACAAAGTAGTTTCAGTTCATACCCATTGTCATGAAACATTTAGGGCATGATTGAGAAAATAGTAACGGATATTAGATCTTTCGAACAATCGTTCATCCTCTGTTCTCAGTCCAAACTGAACTAAGAAGTATTTTAGGCAAAAAATAGGCAGCGTTAATTTAAGAAGTAACTCTACTGAAAGAATAATCACCACCCTGAAACTGCCCTAAAACTTTCATTCACTCATTTAAGTTCTTACTGCATTTGATAGTGAAACAGATTTGATCATTAAGGAGAGATTCAGAGAGAAAACATATAGGAATATATGCATGTGTATCTATTTTATTTTGCTCTTTCTTAAACCATACATACAGCACTGTTCAATTAAGAAGAAAAATGTTAAAAAAAAATGAAACTCTAAATTAACCTAATGAACATCACATCTTTCACAGCATAAAATAGAGCTTTAGATAAACAGTTTGTGTTTATCTGACTCAATTTTCCCATTCTGAACCCAGAACTCTAGTTGGCACCAATGCACGTAAAACTGTTTTTTGTTTCTTTTAGGAACTGAGTAAATTTGAGCCCACGCTGTCAAATCAAATACGTTCCACTTATTCCTAATTTCCCCATACCATATCTAAAACTTCTGAGTATTCTTTGCAAGGATAGTTTTCCTTTCCAACAAGAAATCATCTCCCCCACCAATAAGCCTGAGGTCTTTATGTTATAAACATCACACAAGGATGATCCCTTAAGGATCATACTTGAGATGCAAAAGAAAAAAAAAAAAAAAACACACCACAGAATTTCAGATCCTATCACTCCTCTAATTTTTCGCTTCCCAAATATACCAGGTGTATGTAATTCTGCAGTTTTCAGGAGACTGGCCTACACTCACTCCATACACCAATATGCAAACTATTTGAAAAACACACCATTTCTCAATTCCAGAAAGGATGATTAGCAGAGCGTATTAAAGACTAGGTCTAGATAAAAATCTGTTCATGCTACTCCAGTAAAGCTGCCTCTCTTGCCATAAACAATCTGAGAGTCGTTATAGTTATTTGCCACCTCCTTTTCAGACCCAGCCCTCAGTGCCTGATTGTTACTGGACAACGTGGATATCTTGACTAATGTTAAAAGTCACTGCTCCGTGATACTGCCTCTATCATGTAGTTGCTGGAGAAGTCTGGTTTTGGACCACAAAAAACAAACAAATTAAAAAACTACACATCACAACAGCAAAATACACGTAAGGAAATTTTGGTATTTGGAATACATTTGGGATATAAAAGAGGAAACAGGAAAAACACAACTTCTGAAATACTAGTGCTACCATTAGTTACTGGGAAACACTACTAAACACACCTGACACATCTCAACAGCAGTGTCTACTATTCTTTTCTTAATATATCTCAGGGAAACATTCTAACAAGTCTAACAAAACAACATTTGTGAAGGCAGAATAGCAACTTCATATATTAAAAAAAAAGGAAGAAATTGCACAAGTTTCTACTGAGGCTATTAGATGCAAAGTAAGTTTCAGAAACGTTCCACACTGAAGAGAATTAAAGAGAGCAGAAGTATCACTCACCTAGCAGTTCTTAAAATAGTGACATGAGGACTAAAAATAGATTTGACAATTTGTCTGATGTGAGATTTTTCCCCTGGAATAGCAAAATACTCTCTGAAATCATTAGATGAGTTGCCTCACAGCTGAGCACAAAAACGCAGGAGTTTCAATGTCTATTTCATCCAGGTACAGAAAAAAATCCCCCAATAAACAAACCAAAAAAACCTTAAAAGCCCAGCTGGGAAAAATT